AAACTAGCTAAATATAATGTTTCGCTTATGGCTTATCGAGCATCACTCAAACCTGAAATAACTGTTTCAACAACTGAAACAGAAGATGATGGCAGTATGGATGCTTTTCCTCGTCGAGAAGATGTTCTCATTCGCATGTCTCCACCGCCTGTACCATCACGTAATCTCATTCAGACGACTACTACACCAATTGCAAGCTATGATTTTCGATTACCACCATCAGTAAATAGCGTTAGATCACAACAACGCATAGAGACGCAAGCAACTCAATCTTTCTCAACAAATGATATGGAAAAAACAGAAATAACTACATCCCAACTAGCTCCACAAGCAAAAAAGAAAAATAGAATCGAACAAATCGACAAACCAACATCACCTTTCTCATCTCCGCGCAGACATATACCTAAATCGCAAGAATATCCTTATCAAAATGTATAAATATTCTCACTTAAACACAAAGAAAATCGATTATTCCGTTACAAACATACAAAATAGAAAGCAAATATTTCAATTGAATGAAGTAGCGATTCATTCAGTTCAGTGAATGTTCCGATGCGTTCGAATTCATCAATAAATTGGGTAACTTTTTGTTGAGGATCACGTGTAAATTTTGGTAATTCTTGGAGAGCAGTACTTTGATTGAGGTTTACAAAAGAATTTGATTCCATTTATGGTGATGAAGTGATACGTGAAGTAGTTGGATTAATCGAATCAACGTGAGGCTGGATACGCCCGTATGTGATTATATCGTGTGGTAGTAAGTCACCAGGGTTGGTATTACTTCGCAAATTTCTATTGTGACGATGAGAAGTCGTTTGTTAAAGAAATGACCAAAATAAAAAATGCTAAAACGATGAACGATTGTGCGACAAAGTATTGGATGAAACGAACTGGACAATCGTGTGAAATAGAATCAAGTGAAGACGAGTCACGGCACCAAATATTAGAGTATCCCTGTGCCTTCTTGATGTTCTTTTAATTAAGAATTAATTCATTGTTTAAGCGAGAGAAGAGAGGATATATATATATATATAAGAGAAATAAAGCATCAAGGAATGCGAGTTGAATAAACAAATATCGATAAGAGCGCAATGCCCCAAGGAATAATAACATATGACTGTAACAGTCGGATACAAATGATTTTCGATTAAGAAATAATAACATTTTCCACTAATGAAAGAAATAATTGCCAATATACTTTTTGAAGTGCTTTATTAAAAAGAAAGGCGAAGGCGAAATATTAATTTTATGTGAATAGAAAAAAAGACATTATCTATTATTCCTTTTAATGATTAAATGCAGCTGTGACATATTAATTGTTACATGAGAGAGTGCACTTACTGTTTTGGCCTTGATAACGAAAAACAAGCTCGCCTATAAATTGAGCCGCATTTTATCTACATCTGCATTCTCTCTCATTTCAATTCGTTTGACGTTTACAGAAATGGCAACACCAATCTACATATGGTTTTATGTAATTGCTTTTGTGCAACTACAGACAGTCTTATTATCTGGTAAGTCTTACATTCCACTTTTTTACCGTAAATCTACGTGGAACAGGTATGTTTTTCGTTTTCAAATAAAAATAAAGTGACCCTACTATTCGTTTTTGAATGTTTACAAGTCACGCATCAATTATCATCTTGACTGTACCATTGAATCTATTTGCCCATTCCTTTCGTATCCATGCTATATGACTGCGATATGACTAATCTTCTCATCTCCATCGAGATAGAAAGATTATTTTGAAGAATATCAGTTATTGTTCTTGTAGAATAAAAACAGCCCCTCCAGATTGTATACTACTGAATGGAGCGTGTCGACTTTATTCGATGATAATTGCAATCAACATAGTAAAGATACTAGGGTCTCGAGTTTATAGTTGTTAGAAAAATTGGGATATTGGTGAAAATAAACAGAACTATTTTCTGCCATAAAACCAACAGACATCAACTGTGAATTCTAATTATTGTTCACCACTAAACAAGGGAGAGTTGATATAAATCAATGCCAAAGACTCATAAATATTGCGTCTCCATCAAAATAATCAATTGCGATTTCAAATTGAAGAAAAAACTTATCAGTATAGCTGTATTCGAGCTGAAATGTGAAGCTCATAGGTATCCAGGTCGAGAAATCCCACACCGAATCCGATAGGAACTCGATAGTATCCTACCATCCGACAGTATCTCATAGGACTCCTGGTCGAGGAATTGACGTCGGAACCCATTGGAATTCTGATGACATCCGACGTTGTTTCTTAGCAATTCATAGGAATCCGACACTGAGGATCCAACTTCAAATCCGGAATCCGGAACCCGACGATATTTTTGCAGGGTCCGACAAAATCCGATAAGATCCTACTGGATACGAGTCAGATCGGATGGGTTCTGATTGGTTCCCACTGTTGGATTGCTCGACCTGGGTATTCTTTACATTCATTGAGCTAATTTAGAATGGCTTAAGTAAAAATTCTTCCTTGAAAGTCTCGCTGATTTTTGTGATTTATAACGAACTGTCCTTAAGTTTTCTTTTTTTGAGTACTCTCTGATGGATACAACAAAGTAACAGTAGCGTAATTATAAGTGAGTGAGTGAGAGAGAGAGAGAGAGGATGAAACAGTAAAAATTTCACTGTTAAATTATCATGCATCACAATTTTTGAATATATATATATATGCCATGGTTATTGTAATACTATATATTCCTTCCTGTACCAATGGTTCCGCTACTGGAACAAGGGAGTTTTCACATGTATTCATTAATGAATAATATTATATTTTCCATTTTATGGAGCTTGAGTGTTTTTAGCAATATAGTATCTGATATAAAGTCAGAATGCCTGACATAAGAATTATTCATGCTATGAATTTGCTTGAATCGCTGAAGATGTAGAGTAATCAAGAAGAAAAGTTGAACCCTGTATCTCGAATACATGAATAGCGGCCAGATACCTAAAATACTTTGGTAATTCGATTGACCTTTTCTTTTTTTATCAAAAATTGTCGGCCTGAAATAAATTGATAAAATATGCTTGTTAGCGCAGCCCCTTTGGGGTTAAAATGTGAAACTCACATATATCCTTAGGCTTACTAAAATAATTCAAAATAGTTCATCTGAAAGATCTACCTTGATTTCCAAAACCTATAATTAGGTCATTGTCTATTTGCTTATGTTTGTAATGGAGTATTAATTATTAGCTTGTATATTTAACAGTGGCAGCGACTAGTTTCTATGGTCTGTAATGGGCAAGCATTGCTTTTTTCGTGTAGTCTGCAATTAAAAAGGAAGAAATAGCAGCCTAATTAGTCAAGCTCCTAATTACCACAATCTTAAACTCATTAATGTCTGTAATAGGGAGGGGGAGTCGCAAAAATCTCGTTTTTAAACTTACAGTCACCATTTTCTTCAATAATATATGTAAGTTCCACATAATGAAAAGCTTAGTGATATCGTTCTATGAGATAATCTACATACGTCAACAATGAACTTTTTCAATTGTAATCGTTAGATTTTACTTTATTCATATAATTGAGCAATACCATCAAAATACATGAAAAAATGGTCACTTCGATATTTTGCCACGATATGTATTTTGACGAAGAAATTGTTAGGGTGATTCAAGTTTTCACTGTAGAAAGATTTCATTGAGTAGGTACTTTCGATGGTTCATTACGCTAAGGATNTCATTAGAAACTGCTTTCACAATCAATAGAAGAATTCTTTTAGGAAACGGACGCAGTTTCTAATGAAAGTTAGTGTAGATCAAGCATTGATACAAATCAGATAGATATTATTGGAATTGATAAAAAATTTCTGTGAAGTTTTCAACGAGCTGCAGTTTAGTTCTTTTGAAAACAGGATTGTTTTCTGCATTTTTCAATAAGACTTCACTCTAACTCTTCTATAACTTTTTCAAGTTGCAATATTTTTATACGTGTATCCTTAGCGTAGTGAGCCATCGAAAGTACCTACTCAATGAAATCTTTCTACAGTGAAAGCTTGAATCACCCTAACAATTTCTTCGTCAAAATACATATCGTGGCAAAATATCGAAGTGACCATTTTTTCATGTATTTTGATGGTATTGCTCAATTATATGAATAAAGTAAAATCTAACGATTAGAATTGAAAAAGTTCGTTTGCGACTCATATAGTTGGTTTCGCATATAATTCAACTTGTTTTTTTTCTGAAGCTGAGCGAAATTTTAATCGATATAATCATTCAATATTGATCAGTTCATATTAGTTTTGTTCTGAGTTCAAAATTGTAACGGAAAAATATTTAGGTCGCGTAAATATTCTTCCAATAACTATCGAGATATATAAAATTGCGTATATATCCTGATAGGATGATGGACAACAAAATGTAGATCAGCATCCGCTATATATGTTAGCCACTGTGTGTATAATATTAACAACAATTCCACTCAATAAGTTTATTCTTGTCTAAAAAATGAGTTCTGCGTGGTCTTTCAATACAACCGAATACAATCGTACGTATTACGAAGCACAACTTCATTCTAACTCGTTATAACAAATGGAGAGGCATAGTTTAGTGTTTTACTACACGATGTTTATTCAACTATACTCTACATCCAAATGTCTTCATCTACTACAAAACACGCTTATATACGCAACGAAGAAAGAAGAGAACGGAGAGAGAAAAGAAGTTACATAGAGACAAAAGTTATCGAGAGAGAATGGGACACGGAGAAAGAGAAAGATATCTAGAGAGAAAGGATACACAGAAAGATTGCGTACTGTCTAGTGGACGATTATGCGTTGTCATATGCAAAGATGAATATTAGCGATGCAAACTTAATTACGTCACTGCAGTATGTTTATCAGCTCTATGACTTACAAGTGGACGTCCGGCGGTTCATGTAACCTCTATCTAATCTAGTCCTTTACGAGGCACGCACTTCTTAGCACAAGAATCCATTGCATGGCACAAAAAAGTGTTGATTAGTATAGAATTACCACAATTTTAAACAATACAAGCTATGTGTTTTCGAATCAAGAGGTGGGCATCAGTTTAAAAATGAGACTTTTGTAGTTCCCCCCCCCTCATCCGCCCAGGTAACATGCAATAATGATTTCAATCAGAGATGGGAAGGTCAAGTCAAGTCATTTTTGAAACAAAGACAGATTTTGTTCATCACAGACACTACTGTCCATTTCAAAATATAGTGTGCTCCACTACTTTTCGAATAACTCGATAATGCAATTAGCTAGAGAGCTGCGGTTTTTACCATTGTACAGAGAAATGTTGGGGACAGATTTCAATGCAAAATTTTGATTGGCTCATAATATACCAATTAGATGAAATTTCAACGGACATTTTGTTAACAATATTTTGACCGCAATTCTGATATTGTCATGGATTGTCTCATAACCATTCGGTAGAAAAAAAGTTCTCTTTCGATCTAGACAAGGTCGAACTTTATGCCCCATTTAGCTGAGGAATTATACGGGTTTTATTGAGATCCCCGACTTCGACCAATTCAAGTGGAATCGTTCGGAAAATAACCTTCGGAGAGGTAATTCACTACGACGAGTAGAGTGACAATGTTTATTTTTCGATCCAAACTACATTCGCGCTATAATTTCAATATTCCAGAAATTATGACTCCGGCCGCTAGATGGCGCCAGAATGTAAAATTTCTGGAATATTGAAATTATTTGATGAATTACCATAGACTCATTGAAAAGCGATAGCCAAAAGTGGTTTGTCAATTATAGCAGAGTCGAGTAAGATTTATAAGAAATAATGAGAAAATTTCTACAGTTAAGCGTAGTCTGATGTAGTAGTATGTAGAGATGAAAAGAAGTTGACAAAGGATGAAAGTAGTAATTATGAATCATCAATAGCAGAGAGGTAGCTTGAGTTCAAGAGAAAATCTTGAGTACAGGAAGATCCTTTAGAGTTATACCCAGGCCGAACACTCCGGCCTGGAAACGGCTGGTTCCGGGTAGTTCCGTTGATTTTGTGGAAGCAGTATTCCGGTTGGAAAATTTTCCGGTGATTTCCGGTCAATTCCTGCCGGAAAGCATCGGAACTTGGCAGGAATCCACCGGAAAAGTTCGGCCGTATTTTTGACCGGAATACTGCTTCCATCTTTCCAGCGATTTCCCGTGTTTTCCTGCAGGATATGGTGACTTTCTCGCATATTTCCTGGACTATCATACGGGATCCGGTGGCCGGAATGTTCGACCTAGGTACTGATATTAAAATGGTTGTTTCATTACAGCCGTAATTGATAATACAGCTACTGTTTTAACATCTATCAAAATGAAAAATTTAAGTATTCCTTTCCTTTCTTTTATTACTCGCTTTTTTTCCGTTACTGCACCAATAGTTATCAATGAGTGAATACTAAGGAAGGATGATAGTATATGTAAATCTAGTAGTTTCCAGCAAAACGCTACGATAATATCACTCTTTGACTAATAAATAATTAAAGGTGGCAAATTGAGAGAGAGAGTGTGTGTGTGTGTGTGTGTATCTGCATGCGCAAAACGATAGAAATACCATAGAAAATAGTCTACCTGAACATTCTGTCAAAATATCCATTATATTCAACATTTTTCTTAATTATGTTTTTCTTTTCCTTGTTCTTGTATCAACTAGGATAACTAGTAAGACATCGCCAACAACAATAATTGCTAAAATATTTCTAGAAATTTCACAAGCATCTGATATCTTGCACATTAAGCATGGCTACCATTTAAGTGGCCAGTAATAGCGGTTGATTCTCAAAAGAGATACTTTTTGTTATTGTGAGACTTCGGTAGAAATCTTTCATGTAATATACATAGCTATGTAAAGTTGCGCACAGCTATTTCAATTTTCCTATAACTATCTAATCTTTACTGTACCCATTCAAAGTACTCTATATCTACTTAATCTCTCCTGTAGCTATTTAAACCTTTGTATAGCTATTTGAAGTTCTGTATATCTACTTATAATCCTCACTGTCGCTATTTAATTATCGTACAGCTATTTAAAGTTATCCATAGCTATTTAACCCTTTCAATACGGCATGTCATCTACGAGATGACATACAGAACGCAAAGAAATATTTTGCGTTCTGCCGTCTTCTTACACGACGAATATCATATGGTGCGTTTTAAGAAAATGAAGAGTGATTATAATGATATTAGAACGCTACACTGAAAAAAATGGTTTCGCATTCGTCGTAATATTCGAAACCCTATCAAAAGATTTCGGAGATCAGTACGAACCCATCACAAGGCTTATCAAACGTTTAGGAATGTTTCTCGTGAGTTTTGTACCGATCGCCAAAACCTTTTGAAAGAGTGTCGAATTTGTTGCAAAAATGCGAACCCTTGTGTGCTTCGCAGATACCACGAAACCTTTTTAGGTTCGGCAATATAATGATCTTTTTCAGTATACAGTTCAAAAGCAGCTGATTGTGACGACAGAACGCAACAGAGAGAGATATATGTATTTTTTTCTTGCTCGTACAGAACGAAAGAAAATGTCAGTATTGAAAGGGTTAAAATGTCATGTAGCTATTTAAACTGACACTCATTCAATACAGTCAAGAAATATTTAACAGTACAGGTCGTTCCGTTTATTTTGAAACGATTTCGATCAATGTTTAGTGAAACAGGAATATTTATCTGAAATACGTTTGAATGCAGCAACAAGTACCATTAGGCATGTCTCTAAAAAGATTGAAATCTAGTCCCAGTTACGTTAAAAAGAATGCCTCATCGTTCTACACATCATTCTGTAGGCTATATCGCTTCATCGATATCACACACTCTGAGCACTAAGATCGTTTCTTTTGCAATGTTGGATGAATATCAACGATCGAATATTTTTTTCTGTACGTTCTTTTGCACGATTCATACCATGAATAATCAGATTAGTCGTAGCAACGCTAATACGATATCTTGTAACACTTTACTAAATAGCAGAAAAATTTTCTTCGTCTATATGTGATACATTACGACGAACCAATTGTACGCAGTTTCATGCGACATAGACGATAGAATTTTGGATTTTCATTGTTTAATAAAGCTGATTGCGGCTGTTATTCAATCTTTTTTAGAGACATACCTAATGGTACTTGTCGCTGCATTCGAACGTATTTCAGATAAATATTCCTGTTTCACTAAACACGAATACTGCTCTGCCAAAAGATATTTTACGTATCTTTCGATGTTATTAGTTATTTTATTACCAGACAGTTACTTATCAAAACTAAGTATATTATAATAACATGTGCAATATAAGTGAAGTAGACTGATATAAAAGTCATCAAATCTCGATGAGTCATTGACGAAGAAAGAATTGATCGAAATCGTTTCAAAATAAGCTGAACGATCTGTACTGTTAAATATTTCGTGACTGTATTGAAAGTTCAGAGTGGTCAGCTGAACTTCAAAAGATATATTCAAATGTGAGTAACATTTTAAAGTTTAATTTCGGGATTCACATGACATTAATTTTTAAAATATGAGAGTGCTTTTAGTATTTATAGGCTATCTGAATTTGAAGCGTTTTGTATGTGTAAGGGTTTCAAACAGTTTTTCATTGCTAAGTTATACTTAACATCGAGTAAATATTTGAACGCTTTACAATATTCCCTACGGCACTGTGAACATATTTGGGATTGGTTTTCTGATTCAACTTCTTGAAAGATAGTTTAAAATTCTAGTTAGATAAAAGAATGCGTAGGAACGGTTGGTGCTTTATTTGTGATCGATGGAAACATCCACTTGCATATTTCTGAAATAGAAAACCTTTTTTAATAAGTCTTTTATCAAATCGTTAAACAATGAAAGCAAGCTATATATGCAATTCGTGTTCGTAATTAGTTCAGCAGAGGAATTTGCATAAAAAAGCTGTGAAGTGGTGTATCCATACTTATGGTTTATGTTGACTGTCAACTTCAGAGCATGAATGCACATTGAAACTTACGGGCGATGACATTGGATTGTACCCTAGTGATGAATTTTCGTCAAAAACGTTTTGCAATTGGTGTTGGCAGAAGCGTTTTGAAAGCACCATCCCCTGACATTGTTCTTTTAAATTTAATTGTAATTCATACCGGATTCCGTCGACGGATTTCAAATTTGATCTAAGAATATGTTCCCATTTAAGAATTATAGTGATTGAAAATTTTGTGGGGTAGTGGAAATAAAACATATCCAGAAGCAACGACTAGAAAACGTTTTGACAAATTTTATCACATGGGTCCAATATCACTTCCCATAAATTGTATCTTGACCCCATGGTCCGACGGCGACAGTTCGCATAAACTAAAATCTTGATCAACCAATGAAGCCATGATATTGAAAATTTTTTCAATACCGTATATCCTATTCTTTTAAAATCACTACAACAGAAAGAGACGCATCTTTTATTTTTGAGTGAGTTATACAAATTAAGGTTATCTATTATCAAGAAAAAACGGAACGAAAGTAAAAAAGTCCTCACTACAATCGTTATTTAAGAATTCTTCCGCAGTAAATTTTTGCAATGTGCCGTTTTCAGTTTGCATTAGCTTGAACACTAAACTCTTGCTCTCAAGAAAAAGCGGAGGAGCAGGATTGGGGGAAAAAGTTGAGTAATTGTCTTAATTAGCATTGTAAATAACGTAGTATTTTGAGGCTTTTAATATTTCTATGCAGTAATTTTCGATCTGAAAATTCGCACTGTTAACAGATTTACCAAGCTATACTTTTTCTCTAATCCTGTAGTTTTATCGATGATTCTTCGTACACCTCGATATATTATTTTAAAGATTTATTCACCTTTGTGTGATAGTTTTTCAATGCTCAGTACTAAAAATGTGTAACTACTTAAAGAAACTAGCTTTTGTAAGAAAAATGGAGATGTCTCTCGAAGAAATTTCATCAATGACTGGTAATCTTGAAAAAATCTGTAACTGCGTTGAAAATTACAGGGATCGAAGTTTTAATATGCCTCCAAAGTAGCTTACACAAGATTGGTAGATAAACAAAAGTGTATATCAATATGCATTAAATAGCTATGGCAGTTTAAATCGATATAGAAAGTTTTGAATAGCTGTATGTTTAATTAAAAAAGTATCTTATCTGAGAATCTACGGATGCAAATACAGCCAATTACAGACACCGTATTCCCCCATAATAACATGCCCAATAATGTAGCTGATTTCTACATACAATACGACAATATTACGAATACTTTTAGGATCAGAATACGGTCTTCTATACGATCCGTCATAGTGTCCGCGTTACAACGACATAATGCGACACAAAGACGGCCTTTCACGGTGAAAAGTGGTGCATCTACGCCCACTTCCGCTAGCGATACGTCGGTTTCCACTGATCAGTTTTGCCCGAGCAGGCTAAAGTCAAACAAATGCCCAACACACTATCGAAGTCATAAATTTCCCAACCACATTAAAGCCAGACTCAAAACGAGCTGAACACTTTTCAGAAATCCATTCGCAAACCCTTTCCCTCAGTTTGATTCTCATACGAAAACAGACCATGATTACATCCTAAATTCCATACCTCAACTTCCACAGCACCTTCTATACCGTACTCCTCTGTTCCCTTCACTGGCTATACAGCCTACAGTAGTGCGTATAGTCACACACAAAGCTGCAGCCACTAAACCAGCATCCGGTAACCCTTACCAATGCACGACAACTTGAATATCATTACATAACCATCTTTTAGCTGCACCAGAACCAGCGCCAGCATCACCGAAAACAGCCGCAGCTGCATCGTCCCAGCGGGATGGAAAACGTGGCGCATCGACAGCATCCAAACAAGGTGGCGCTCAATTCCTTGAAGGTGCTAAAAAGGTTGAAGCATCGAAAGCATACAAACACGGCCGCAGTGAATCAACTGAAAGCGATGAAAAGCGTGAATCATCAAGAGCATACAAATACGGCCACACTGAATCAACTGAACGTGCTGACAAGCGTCAATCATTGGAAGGACGCAAACACGGCCGCGCTGAATCAACTGAACGTCATGAAAAGCGTCAATCATGGGAAGGACGCAAACACGGCCGCCGTGAATCAACTGAACGTCATGAAAAGCGTCAATCATCGAGAGCATACAAACACGGCCACACTGAATTAACTGAACGTGATGGCAAGCGTCAATCATGGGAAGGACGCAAACACGGCCGCAGTGAATCAACAGAACGTGATGAAAAGCGTGAACCATCGAATGCACACATACACGCCCGCGCTCAATCAACTAAAAGTGATAAAAAGGGCGTATCAGTGAAAGCAACCAAACACGCTGAAGCTGCAACAAAATCGGGTTCGGCTGACAGGGGGGAAAAGGTTGAATCATCGAAAGCAAACAATCAAGGTGGAGCCGCAACAAAATCAGGATCGGCTGACATCGGGGGAAAGGGCGTATCAGTCAAAGCAACCACACAAGGTGAAGCTGCGAAGAAGGCTGCATCAACCAAAGCAACCACACAAGGTGAAGCTGCGACGAAGGCTGCATCAACCAAAGGAACCACACAAGCTGGAGGTGCAACAAAGTCTGCATCAAGCAAGGCAACAAGAGAAGCTGGAGCTGCAGCAGAAGCTGCATCGGCGGAAAGTGGAGAAAAAGTAGTTGGTAAGTGGTGTTAATTCAGTTAGGTCCGTGGAATGTTTCTGATAGTACAACTGTTCAGAAAAGCAAAAATAGGATCAGGTGGGATGGAAGTAGCCACCTGAGTAGTATTTTGGTTGTTTGTTATATTGGATTACAACAAATTGATGGTGAGCGTTGTCTATTGCGGAGGGCTCGTTGGTCAGAATAATATTCGGAGAATGCTATCGGAAATGAATATATGTAGAATAATTTAACAAGTAGATTCTCTAAAATGTCATGTGAGATTTATGCTCTAGAAGGAGATTTTTCGAAGGAAAGCTGTTAAGAACTCGACTGTTTTGAACAGTTTTCTCATTTTTCTGTAAGAGATCGAATGAGGTTAGCCATGCGCTACACGGTGTTCCTCCTGAGCGTTGGCAGGTGCACTTTTAAAATAAGTGGCATTAGTTACTGTAGTTGAACCTAGTAAGAACAATATGGGTTTAATGGTTTTCAAAATAAAAATGAATTGTTCATCTACTTTTG